CAAATGCATAATGATTTAAAGTGAAAGCTTGTATATCGTATTCACTATCGAGTTTAATTCATTAAAATGAAGTTTGGATTTGTGGGAGGATTAAGTATACCTATGTCAAACACCATTTAGCCTTTTTATTTCATGATATTTAACTGTATCTTGCATTCTTTGATAAGTCATTATTCATATGTGACGTAAATTCCGGACATTTGCAACTGAAATAACTAAGAAACAAAGTGAGCAAACGAAAATCTTCAAAATAAGTTATTATATCATTTCAGAAGTACTTAAAAATGAGATAAAAAAATAATTGATGTCAGGTGCACTTTAAGGTTTGCAAAGGACAACCATTGGCTGTATACACACCCCAAACCCTAACCTTAAACCCAACCCTAACCCTAACCTATATTGGTGCGCGAAACATGGAACGATAACCGGTATTTCAAACGCCAGCCATTTTTTAATTAGCTGCATCATCTTACAGACACATTGACAACCTGACCCCCATCCTAACCCCTCCTAACCATAGGCATCCAATCCACCTACCCCTCACCATGATGGAGGGGAATGAATACGCGTACGCTTGCGTAGTCGCATAATAATGTGAACTTTTTGCTTTTCCTCTGTCTACACTTGGAGCAAATCGTCAAACTTGTTATATCGTTCAAGAAATACTACGACGAGGATGGGATTCGAACCCACGCGTGCAGAGCACAATGGATTAGCAGTCCATCGCCTTAACCACTCGGCCACCTCGTCTGAACTGACGGGATCGTGTGTTAAAATTGAGGTCATGCTTTGCTTAATTTTCAACTAATTATTGACAGATAATGCTCAAATCTTACAGATGAAAATAATAGAGCGTTTGCATTCATTCCCCAGGGACCAACTCGACAAAAGCCATGGCGGCCATGTAGGTGTTCCAGACAAAAGAGTCTGGCTAAAACTATTTTGAATTAGAACACCAACATGGCGGTAGTGACGTCATATGCAAACGCTCTATAGTCATTTACATTTTGTTTAAAACTCGTTATGTGACCGGCTTTTGTTATTCAATTTGGTTGAAAATATCTAGGACGACGAGGATGGGATTCGAACCCACGCATGCAGAGCACAATGGATTAGCAGTCCATCGCCTTAACCACTCGGCCACCTCGTCTTACCTGGAGATGTTAATTTTAAAATTCTACTCCTGTGTTTCCTAATTTCCAGTGCTATAATAGTAATAGTGGGGTTTATTCGCATAAACTAAAGGACTGTTTCTAGATTGTTCAGTTTTACAAAAGAAGTTACACATCTTATCTCGATTTGTCCTGCATGGTATTTGTTTCTTTTATTTCAGTCACCTTCTTTAGCCAGGCTAATAGTCCGTGAAGACTGTGCGATGGTTCTAACATATCCACGATCAGGCCGGAAGCGCATAGTTTTTCCTGCGTCCTTCTGAGGTTGGTAGATAGCTTTGGATAATTAACAGAAGTTCATAGTCACTATGGCTTGGATAAATTATTCTTCGGGCACGTTATTGTACGTTATTGTACCAATATTTTACGAAAACGTATTAGGATATGTCAAATCAGTGCAACTCGCATGCGTTTTACTTGCATCTTACAAATCAAAATGGCCAATACATCCTCTTCTTTTATATCATATGGTTATCCCCGACACTGTATGTATATCATCATACAGGTGCACTAATGCACTTTATGTATAATGTATACAGCCAGTTCAAAAAAGGCTGTCCTTTGCAAACCTTGCTTCTAAACCTTAAACCTTAAATTCTAAGCGCCCAAAGCTTAATGTGAGCACAAGTTTCAAGCTTAGTCTTAGTAGTTGAGTATTGCAGCTATGTGAAAATAAATTGTGCTCATAAGGAGATATTTACCATGTCTCTAAGAAATGGGCCTTAAATTAAATATGATTTCTAAATTAATTAAATGATGCTCCCATTATGCTTTACACGCTTAGAGTTTAAGGTTTAATTAAGGTTTGGAGTTTAAAATTTTTCGGTAAGGGACCGGTCATAAAGTATTTATTAGGAGGTGTGGAGGATATCTTGGGG